TAATCGGTTTTTATTCATATCATAGTGATTTTTACCTGATACTCGATTCGTGAGCACATTTTTATTTAAAATGTTTTGAGTGCGCGGTTTTTTGAGTAACAATCGGTTGATCAAACTTCAATTAAGAATTATGTTTAACTTGAAGATTTTTTAATAAGATTGGGATTCCAACATTTTAGTTAGATTAACGTCTCATTATTTTTAATGAACTTTAGCATACTTATAAATGATTTGTGTTATATTTGAAACCTTAAGTTTGTAATGTAACAAAACAATTGTATTAAAATTTCAATTATATATATATAACATTATTATTATGAACTGACTTTTAAAATGATATTTTTACTTCAGAATTTAGCACAAGGAACTGTAATAGAAAATGACACTGAAGATACTTCGATAGAATTTAATAATTTAATGCCGAATACATCATATGTTCTAGAAGTTTATATAAACACAAATAAAGGATATAATGAAAACTTTGTGTTAAAAGTACCCTTTCAAACAAAATCGAAGTGTAAGATGATTTCAAAGAATATTATATAAATTAAGTTAAATATAAAAGCAATGTACATTAAATTTTTTGATGCGTTAAAACTTCATGACGTAAAATAGTTATTTGGATATTTGATGAAATTAATAAAATATTATTTGAGGCTTAAGAAGAGAAAAAAATACTAATTAAAAAATTATTTTATTTTACTATTTCTGTACAATAAATTCATGGTAAATTTCGAAATTGAATGCAAAGATAACTTACTACAAACATTTTAAATGATTATTTAAATAAATATAGAGTTTTTATTTTATCGTAATAAATTTACTTAAAAAATAATAGTTATTTAATATTTTTAGTTTTACCTGCAATAGAAAATTTATCAGTTTACAAGAAAAATTCAAAAACAAAAACTATAGGTTTAAGATGGAGTTACGATAACGAGTCTGATATAAATGGTTTTATAATTCATTTANAAGTCTGATATAAATGGTTTTATAATTCATTTAACATCGTCTAATTATAAAGTTAATTCTAAACAAATGACAATCGAAGTTCCTTCGAGATGTACTGCATGGCCAGATATGTATTGTGAAACTATAGATAATTTAACACCAAGCACTCAGTACACTATTAAAGTAATTTCTAAATTATTATTTATGAACTTTATGACAAACTAATAATGTGTGTTTTTATAATTAAAGATAAAAGCCAAATCATTAGATTATCCTAATGGTGGATTAGTGGCATCAGAAGACTTCAATACTGTCGATGGAAGTAAGAAAACAATTTTAATCGTATTAGTTACATAAGATAATTATTTATTTAAATATACAATGCTGGAAACATATTTAAAGATGAATTCATTATTCATACAAAATAAAACATTTATTTATCATGCCTATGGACGTAACGGGGTGGGATGTTGGTTCTAATTAGGTCGTAATTTACTAAAATTATGTAAAATTCTTTTATCAATAGTTCACCAATAATAAATATATAAAAAAGAATCTTTTCTTTTTTACAATTTGAAACTCTTGTGGTTATTTTAATAATCAAAAATTATATAATAAAGCCATCTGGTACATGATATTAATATAACGGTTAATTTGTTTAAAAATATTGTTATTTTATTTGTTCAATCGTTTCTGTAATTATTTAAGAAATTCCATAAAGGGTGGGATTTGCTAGCATATGTTATTTTGTAGCTATTGAGTTTCTATATATTTTATTTTTTCAGTTCCAGATGAACCTGGAAATTTGACGATTACTTATGTCGGCACCAACAACATTTCCCTAGAATGGAACATCCCTTGGATGTTTAACGGTGCACTTAATTCGTTTATAATAAACGCAGAAGAAGTTTCTGCAATAGATATTGATTCATGTTGTACTAGTTATCCGCCTATTGAACTATTAGTTACGGAAGAAAAGCCGACTTATACTTATACGGTACGCTGAATAAAAAACATATCAAATCGAATTAAAGATTCTTGATAAAATAAAATTCTATAATATATTAAATAATGTACATTTTTAGCTAGATAACTTGAAGCCTGGTTCCACTTATGCAATCGGTGTGCTGTCAAAAACTTCATGGTATAGCCAAGCTAAAAGAATTCACGTTACAACACTGATTGATTAAAAATATCGAGTCATTTACCAAGTGTTCATGATAATTTAATATAGAATTAATAACTCGTTTTTAATAGAAACGTGACTTATCATATTCATTTTTGTACTTATAATAGACAAAATAAAAGTTTATAATAATTGTTTATTAATATCAAGTATAATTATAAATATAATATACTTAATCTATTTTATTATTTATAAATATATATAATACTTTATTTATATGTTTACCATATTTTTGAAACATTTAGAAAAATTAATTTGAAAATTACAATGAAATAAAAACTGATTTTACAACTTAGAACTATAATGATATAATAAGATTATGTTTTTTTTTTGTTAAAAAACTTAAAATTAAAAAAACGAATACTAGAACTGTTCAAATAAAATTAATGTTAGCCATATTATAGAGTGAATTATAAAAAAAAATTTAGATGAAAAATTTTCTTCTTAATGCCTTGTAGTTAAAATTCTAAAACNTAGATGAAAAATTTTCTTCTTAATGCCTTGTAGTTAAAATTCTAAAACATTTTGAAATTCGTAAAAAAATTTTCGTATTTATTTTACTGTATCAAATGGTGGCGTTTGTTCGACAGACAAGTAAAGAAATAATATAATATTTCGTATACAAAAATTATTATTTAAAGGTATGGATTTTTTTTTAATTATTCTCTCAAATGTACGCCGAAAATTTAATTGTAGATAATTGTTAAATACTATTAGATTTAAAATAGTATACTTGCTAAAAATTGATATTTTTTGATTATAAATGATAACTATTTTCGTGTATCTGTTAAAAATTTATTCTTGCATTATTAGGTCATGCTCCTAATAATTTAATAGTTATTAAAAATAATTAAAATTGGGATTTAATTGGTTATTATTTCGTAGGGAACATGTGTTTCTTCATTCTAATCTGATAGAATTGAAAAAAAATGTTGTTCTTTGACATAGTGAAGAAATACTGTATGCTTAACATCAAATTATCCATAAAATATGGATAAAAAATTGCTAAACGTGTACAAGCTGTAAGAAAAGAATGTTTCATCGAATAAAAAATATAAGAGTAAAATCGTCTGAAATTTTTTTCCTATCATTTCATTAAAGAAAATTAAAGTTTAGGTTTTTTAACCCTGAATGGATAAAAGAAAATTGTTTAACTACATTTAATAGTAG